TGGGGAGGGGTAGCTGTTCTGTGGTTGCTAATAATTCAGGAGTATGACATAATCAAGCTATCAAAATTCCAAAGGCAACAAGTATTCTGGGAATTCAGCAAGTCACACTGCATACAGAAAAAACTCATGAACTTGTAGGAAGTTTACAAAGATGGTTACATCTTTACATCTGAAAGTTCAATATATCTCCAAGTAGTAAGAGTAGCATGAGCTGATGACAATGGGACCAGTAATCTATATGTGTCTCTGTTCAGCATTTATTCCCCTCAAAAAAAAAACAACTCTTTTTTTTTTTTTTCTTTTTGTTTTTAAACAAAAATAGCAATTTTATCAACTTACTTACTGGAACAAAAGAGTGAAAAAAAAAATATAAGTAGGTGCTTTTGAATAGTCCCAAATTTCAAGTTGGTTAGTTCTGCTTTTGGAGGTGGGAAAGCAGCTTTCCCTTTTCAACTAAGAAACAAAGCATCAGTTTGATAATTGCTGTTAGACTCTTGTCTTGAAAGACAACCCTAAAAATTAATGCCACTTTGGTGGGTTTCTGTTTTTTTAAGGAAATTCTGCACTGTATTTATTCGAATGCTATGACACAAGAACAGAGAGCTGGCACACGAAGCCCAGCATGCTGACTCAGCGATGCAGCCATGGAATGGTAGAGGCGAATGGTCTCATTTATGTGTGCGGAGGGAGCTTGGGAAACAATGTCTCCGGAAGAGTCCTAAATTCCTGTGAAGTTTATGATCCAGCCACCGAAACGTAAGTATTGTATTAATTCTGGTTATTTTTAGTCATTTGGGTCTTTGCTAGCTCTGTAAGTGACTCAAGTATAGATGACTAAAGGAAAAACTGTGTGTGGTAAGGAATTTTCCTGAGTCAGCAGTGAAGCATCAGTTATTTTTGTAGCCTTACTTGAAAGGCAGTTTTTCTTAAGCAGCTTTCGTCCCTATCTCATTTTCTTAATGATAGGTTTCATTTACATATTTTATACTTATTTTCCGTAAACTAGATGGTGACTCTTCCTCTTGTGTTTGGCTTTCTTTTTTCCCAGGTGGACTGAGCTGTGTCCAATGATTGAAGCCAGGAAGAATCATGGGCTGGTGTTTGTAAAGGACAAAATATTTGCTGTGGGTGGACAAAATGGTTTAGGTACTTTAATTCTATTGATTCTCTAGCTGGTCACACAGCAGTGAATTCTGCTCTGGTCTATTTTGCAATGAATTCTGCTCTGTTCAGCTGAAAAACTCTGAGCAACACTATCAAACATCCTATTGTTGCCACAGCAGTTTTGCCTTCCTCTTTTCACCTCCCTACTTTGCTCTATCTTATTTTTTAAATTCTTGTACTAATGACAGTACTGTCAAGTTCAGATATGCACCAGTTCTGAAGTAGTTAATATGGCTAAACCAGGCATCTAAGAAAAGAAATTTTTGGGTGGTGTTTTTGTTTGTTGTGGTTTTTTTTTTTTTTTAGTTCTTTATGATGTGTTTTGAGATATTTTAGCATCTTTTGAGAGACAGGTAAAGGTATAGCCCCTGTCTTAGGAACTTCAGTCCAAAGACTTAAAGATAGTCAGGTATTATAAAGTGGTGAAAATGTAAGACCTCTTTTCACTGCCCAGCTTTGAAATAAGACTTACTGTCATGGGCAGGTCATTTATAATCTGCCTGTCTCCTTGTCTTTAAAACTAGATGAATAGTAGTTTATTTACCAGAATAATTGAATTTTAATTACCCAGGGTTTCTAAAGTGCTTTTCAAAATGAAAAAATCGCATTATGAGGTTTTAAAAATCACTGTTTATGGTAAGTGGAATACTTGATTTCAGATGAATGCTATTTTAGAATATAGCTTGATTTTTAATTGGCTACTAAGACTATTCTATCGTGATTGATTCCTAATGCAAAAACAGTAGATGCATTTATTATCAATCTGTAACTGCCAGAGCTGCCATCTTGTACAGTGAATGCTGAATGCTCCTTTTAGAAATGCTAATGACTGTTCTTACTGGAATAGAATGAGGAAGAGTTATGTCTGGGGTGAAAGACTCGTACCTCTTAACATGATAGAAAGGTTTCTTAATCTCTTAGATCTAATAATTCAGAACTGGAAGTGAAAACTGACTCAGGGGTAACAGAATGTTTGTCACTATTCTAAGGTGTAATTACTAATGTATTTCCTGAAGAAGTGAATCTTAGTCACAAAATCCACTCTTTTCTAATAACTTTTGGTTTCTTTGGCCCTTATCAAAGGGACTTAGGCTTTTACACTTCAATGATTTTACTGAGCATCATGAGGAGAGACAATAGCCAATTTTGGTAAAGGTACCTAAGAGTCCTCTAGAATAAAATGCCCTAGCTATAGGGAAGTTTCAGATAGATTTCTAAGTTTTAGTCACTAGCCACAAATCCATCACAAATTCAGCATCATTAGTTCTTCTGTTCATGAAGTAGTAACATGTTGGAATCTCTAGAAAGCATCTAATGTGAATTTCTTACAACACATCTTGCTTTCAATCTCCTTTTTACTTTTCTCTGTATTTATACAAGGGTAAACTGCTAGTTTAGAAACCTGGGGTGTTTTTTCAGGTTTGGTTTTTTTACTGTAGGGTTTTTAAAACCTTAAAAATAAAGACTTCAGTTTCATGGAATATTTGCATGCTCCAGTTCAGTCCATACAGTATAATGTAATAAGCAATAATCTATGTCATTGTTTTGTAGGTGGCCTTGATAATGTAGAATATTACGATATCAAGATGAATGAATGGAAGATGGTGTCTCCAATGCCATGGAAAGGTGTAACAGTGAAGTGTGCTGCTGTGGGATCTGTAGTCTATGTCCTGGCTGGTTTTCAGGGTGTTGGTCGCTTAGGGCACATTCTCGAATATAACACTGAAACAGACAAGTGGATAGCCAACTCCAAAGTCCGTGCTTTCCCAGTGACGAGTTGTTTAATCTGTGTTGTAGACACTTGTGGGGCAAATGAAGAAACATTAGAGATCTGAAGACCTGTAGGAGATGCTGAGACATTCTTCAAGGACTTGGGGAAAGATGGCTATTGGTGCTTTGCTTCCATATTTTACTGAATCTTGTTAAATTTAATAACAGGAAAAAATGAGATGCAGCCTTTCAGTTTGTATATACAGCATATTGTGTAATGTGGATTTTGTCATACCCATTTTCTTGCCTGTTTTAAGAGATGGGGATGTGTTTTGAGAATCCACTTACCTAGGTGACATCACATGGCATCTTCCTTTAAAAGGACTGTGGGTGTGACCTTGTCAAACATAGACCAAATTAAAAACATGTAGAACTCTTCTAAAGCATTTGGTGAAGAAAAGATTTCTGGTTAAATGACACTTTACCAAGGTCAGTTGCAGAGATACTTCATTTAGTAATGGTGAGTAGATATAGTTTGGGTCATGAGAAAGATGAGCAAAATTTTTTTCTCATTCATACCTACCTGCAGAAATCTTACCAGGATGCAATGAAGATATTTTCTCAGGAAAGACCAAGGACTGCTGTCTAATAAAGATTTCCAATGTTTCTACAGCTCTCTAGGTCATGATAGCTGCCCTCTTCCAATGAGTTTCTTCCATCATTTGCATGACTGCTTATCAATTTTTGAAAGTTACAGAGGCCATATATAGAGATTAGACAAACATTTTGATGGTCTCTTTGGCATTTTGGGGAGCTTTCACAGAAAGACTTGGAATTTTTTTTTTTTTAATTACACTGAGGTAAGCGAAGTCAAAGGGTGAAGTCGACAAGAATTGTGCACTATAATTAACAAGTTGGAAACTTGGAGTGAATTTTCAATCTATCTTCCCAGGCATCAGCCTGTACATACTGTGGATGCCAAACTTGTAGCAAAGATGGGAAGAGGAATGGGAAAAGCAAATACAATATACAGATATATTGATTTTCTTCTTGAAAGTGACTGTTTTTAAAATGGCATGAACAGAGTCATTAAAGATACTTTACAGAAGTCTTCAGAAGTTGCGCATGGTTTTTCATCTCTGGTCTAGAAGCACAGAATTCTGTAAATGCTTTCAGCCAGTATGATGGTAAATTTCTTCGTCCAGCATAGAAGTCCAACCTGCAAAGCTCTCGGTGTCGTCAACACTGCGTGCCTCTTCTCAGTTCTGGAGAACTATACAAATGATGTCTGGATGTCTGTCCTGCTCCTATGCTAGTTTATTAATAGCTTCATTGTAATTTTGTCACCTCTCTTCTAACTTGCTCGTTTTTTCAGATCTGTTTCTATGAGACTATTGAGTTAACATCAAAAGTTGGTGCTTGCCTACCTGTACCTTGTACCTCACTGGTGCTGTGGATGTTTAGTCTGTTTTAATTTCGAAGGTCCTCCAAATTCTCCTAAGTAGTCTAAATCCTGGTTTTCAAAGTCAGTGCTTCTTTGTAGGCTTCCTCCTGGTTTTCTCCCTCACCCTGACCACTCTGCCTGTACAGACAGGAGTAGATGCGCTCATGGGCTCAATAGCAGTTCCTGCAGCTCCGTTCTTTTTTCAGCAGTAAGTGAAGGCTGTGCGACTCTTTTTTTTTTTTTTTTGTTCCCCCTTCCCTTTCCCTTCTCATAACCACGAAACAAACGTGTCCCTGGTGCCTCCGCTTCTTGAGAATCCTGGCGGGAACTCTGCCCTTTTTGGGCTGGACAGGCTCTTTTGTCGTGTTTGTATCCGCTTTTGAACTCGCGGAGCCCCGTTGTTCTAAGGGTTGAATATTCCTTGGCCCCCAGCGCCCCTCCGGCGGCGCCGCGGGGCGGCCACGCTCGTCCTTCGGCTCCTGCGGGGCTGCTGCCGCCTCGGCTGCGGGAGCGGGAGCGGGGCCCCGCACCGCCGTCCCCGGGTGCCCGAGCGGGACGGGCGGGGGTACGGGGGCCTGGAGGCCGCCCCCAGCCCTGCTCTGCTGCCGGCGGGAGCTCCGGAGCCGGCCGGGGCTGTCGGCAGCGGCCTCCGGTTCGGCACCCGCGGGGCTGGGCTCCGGCGCAGGGACTGCGGGATGTGCCACGAGGCCATGGGAGAAGCGGCTCGGGAAACTTTTCTGCCGGGAGCAGCGAGCAAGTGTCCAGCAGCTGCGTGCTGTGGCTGGTGAAAGCTGCTTCCGTTCCCACCGCCTCTGGGTGTTTGGGAGCTTCGGGAAGGCGAAGGACACGACGGCGAGTCGAAGGGCTGCAGTGATGGCACGGCAGGAACACGGCTGCAGCCGCTTCTCTTTATTCCTGTCGAAGGAGGGTGGTGTTTCGCCAGCTCATTTTGGGCGTTCACACCTGTGAAGTTTGATAATGAATCCCTTGTGTGTCTCCAAAAGACCATGTAATAACGGCCCATTTATTCGTAAATAGGGAGAGCAATTGTAAGTATGAATCTGTTTTCTTGGAGGTTTTGACTGCTCCTATCCTTGCAGGCTTTTCGGATGGCTTGCCAGAAGAGCTGCGTCTGGAGTATTACAACTGCAGAGCAAAGAATATCATTGGGAATTACGTAAGAATTTTTAAAATGCTGACTGCTGTGGACACCATGAGATAGGACTTGTTACTGTTCTTCAGTTTCCTAACTCTTGACTTACTTAGCTCCCAACTCTAGGAGATTATCAAAATGCCATAATATCCTTCAATTCTGGTACACCAAACAGAATGCTGAAACAGCTGCTGGTCTGTATGCTCTGCTATAACATCCTCTTTCTGACTGAGATCCCTGGCACAAATTGTCCTATCTCATCTTACTCTTTATATAAAATCAAAGAAGTTGATTTAAGGGCAGTGGGAGGAACACTTAAGAGGAATTCTCTGTTAATGACAAAAATCTCATTTTCTTGCTTTGAAGTTTCAGGAAAGCCAAAATCCTGTCTTCTTGGCTTAATGAAGTTATTTTTTAATTCTGGATACCTTTTTTCAGTTCAGTTGTCAGATCACTTCTTTTGTATTGAAGTCTTCAGTAATAATGACTTGCTTTTCTTTTCCCCCTTTTTAGATAAATGCTGTTAGTTGTACAGTGGAAAAATCGTCTGCTTCAGTTGAAAGCTTTAAATGCATCTACAAAAGCAGCTTTGGTAAGTGTTCAGGAAAGGCAAAATGTTCCTGTTGTCACCATTGAATGAATTAATTTACACTGATGTTAATTTCAGCTACAAAGACTTCTGAGATATAGCTAATTGTGATGTGCCACCTGGGCATATCCTCCGGAATCCTGAGATCAGTGAATTGCAGGCGGGTATTATAGACCCCTTTAGTTCACTGAGAGAAAAAGCCAGTCTGGACGATTCCATGTTAGCAAGGCAGCAGCTGGATCCCAGCTTTGGAATATTCTCATTACAAACCACATGAAAGGGACCAGAGCTTAGCACAGGAAACTGGATGTGCCAAGAAGAGAGAAGAGAGCGAGTGAAAGCAGTGCCCTAGATGGAGTCACAAAGCACAAGATGAAACAGTAAGAGATGAGAGCGAGAGCTGCAAGAGGTGATCAAGTCATTGACTGACAGGCAAAAATCTATAAACTGTAGCAGATTTGCATTTCTGTTTTCCAGAAAAGAGTGTGTAGAGACTGAAAGCATCTTGTTCATAACTGCAAGAGCATGTGGTCATGATGAAAGTGATCTGTGTCCGACTGGACAGCTCTATTTTTGCTTCAAGTATTTACTGAAAGATGTTATAAGTTAGTATAAGAATTTAGACAACTCAATTCCAATTAAACATTGATAAATTTATTAAGCAAGTGATAATAAAGCAAAACAGCGCTGGGTGGCCTGGAGGGCAAGTGCCCTGCCGAGACACACACCAAAATGTAGTAAATGTTCCTTTTTATACCTTTCCAAGTCCCGAGTTTTTACTGCGGCTGCGTTGAGGCTTCAGTTTGTAGCTCATTTTTAAGTGGTCATCTGGTATTTGTCAGAGATGAAAGGTGCAGTTTCTTATCAGTTGTAAATTTTACTGATACTGATACTTGTTTGTTTAGCAAGATGTCTGCAATTATTTTTACTCATACTTGCTTGATTAACAGGATGTCCATGAAACTTATCTTGTTGAATTATAACAAAAATTCCTTATTCCTTCATACACATAAGATTTTATGAACAAAGTTAACCCTTCTATTACAAAAGACAGTTCCGTTTTGGAATCTAGTGTTCACTTATGTCTTCGGAATTTTTTTCAGCTCTCTGCTTTCAAGAACACGGGCTCTCAAAGACCATCTCCTGCCTTTGGACTGGGAGGACAGCAGACATCAAGCTTTGGGCTCTCAGGTAAGTTCCTGGCCTAAGAACCATTAGACACGAATGTTTTCTGGAGTTTCCCTGCTGCTGTGTTTTTTGAAATGCAGCAGTGGTTTAGTGCGACCGGGGCAGCCACTATTTTTATATTTTTATCACTTCCGTACTAGCAGGCAGCGGCAGCAGTGCCAGCGCCCGGCTCCTTCTCCTTTAAACCCAGTTCCAGCCTTACCACTTCCTCATCACCTGCACCTTGGAATACTGTATTACTGGACGTCTAAAAGAATATTTTATCGTATTATTCCCGCTTGGGCCGCCGCCCGGGCCCCGCCGCCCGCTCTGACGTGACAGGCGCGCGCGCAAGGCGCGCGCCTGTCACGTCAGAGCGGGCGGCGGGGCCCGGCGGCGGCGGCGGCCGCGGCCGAAGCCGAAGCCGGGGCGGCCGCAGCGACCGGGAGCGGGCGGGCCATGGGCGTGTGCCAGTTCTTCCTGCGGGGCCACTGCCGCTTCGGGGAGCGCTGCTGGAACGAGCACCCCCGCGGCGCCGGCCGCGCAGGGGGACCCGCAGCGGCCCCGCAAGGTAACACACCCTCCCACCCACCACCCCCTCTCAGCGCCGCGGGGCGGGGGGGGTTTCGGCAGCACCTTCCGGTTCGTTTCGCTGGCGAAGGGTGCGGAGCCGCAGGTGCCTTGTGAGGAGAGGCTGAGGGGAGCTGCGGGGTTGTTTAGCCTGGAGAGGAGGACGAGGAGGAGGAGGAGGAGCCAGGCGGGACCTTATATCATCTCCGCGACCACCCGAAATGGTGTTGTAAAGCCAGGTTGGGTGGTGGTGGGGCTCGGTTTCTTCTCCCGGGCGACCAGCGACAGGACACAGCTTTAAGCTGAGCCGGGGACTGTGTAGGCTGAGCGTCAGGAAGGATTTTCTTCACGGAAAGGGCGATTAGGCGTTGGAATGGGCTGCCCAGGGAGGTGGCGGAGTCACCGTCTCCTGGAGGTTTCTAAGGGGAGACTGGCACTTAGTGCCATGGTCTGGTTGACGTGGCTGGTGTTGGTCATAGGTTGGACTCGGTGGTGTCAGAGGTCTCTTCCAGTCTACTTGATTCTGTGAGTCTGTGACCGTGGGGTGTGCCACAATGCCACGGGAAAGCAGCTCCAGGAGCTTTCCTGCCAAGAGCAGCGAGAAAGTTTCCAGCATTCTTACGTTGTGGCCAGTGAAGGCTGTTTCTGTTCTTATTTATTGGCTCTGTGTGTCTGGGAGCTTTGGAAAGGCGAGTGACATGATGGGGAGTTGAGAGCTGCAGTGATGGCAGGAACACGGCTGCAGTTGCCTGTCCTCATTCCTGCTGAAGGAGGGTCGGAGTTTGTAACACACATGCACAGATGTGTCTAAGGCCTCAGAACGGAATTCTGGAGCTCTCTGTGCTGCAGCAGAGCAGGAGGCAGGAGCTCCTAATGTAAACACATGATGAGGTAAATTTTTTTCTGCTGGGGTAGTTTCTTCATGAAATGACCTCAAGAAGACTGAAACAGTCTCTTTCTGGGATGCCACAGGTTGTTGGCGCGGTGATCTCATTGAAGGTGTCTTCGCTTGTTATGGCACGGGGGAGGTCAGACTAGATGATTTTTAAAGGTGCCTTCCAACCCAAACTATTCCGTGGTTCCACGTGAGGAGGAGGAATTCCCATTTACCTCTGACTTGTGAACTAGCGTGCATTACTCACTAGGTAAAGCTCACTAAATAATGAGGTTAACTCATTAGGGAAAAAAGCTACATTTTCATTTTAAACTTCTTATTGCCACCGTAAGACTCTGGTTATACTCACAGTTGTTGTTGATGCTCTTTGTTTTGTGTCTTAATGATTAAAAATTTCTCTTGTTTGCTTTCTTGGTTTTTTTATTTGGAAGTTACTAGTGGCAGAGGAGGAGGATGGGGTTCCTCTAACCAGAGATACAGCAATGTTATCCAGCCATCTACCTTCAAGTCTGATACATGGGGTGGCAGCAGAGATCATGGAAGAGGATTCTTTGGCTCCTCTGACTTTGGATCATCCGGCGGCAGCAGCAGAAATGCAGACTTCTCACAGAACAGGTTCTCGGCATTAGTGAACAGTCAGAGCGTTGCTGATGGCTCCAAAGATGAAGAGGAGAGACTTCTGTAAGTTATAGTCCTGTCTTACTGAAAGCATTTAGAATGAACAGTTTAAAAGCTTACTGACTTCCTAGAGATAATGCAGGGAACAGGATCGTGAGGAGGAAGCTGAGACATGTAGAAAGAACCACAGAGAACACAACTTCATTTGGTTCTCTGGAGTGATGCTGGCATGGGAAGGAAGTGATCCGTGTCTGGGACCTGAGCTGGGCAGCTAGACAGGTGTGATACTAATAAGATGGCATGGTATTTAAGTTGTGGGCAGAAAGATAAGGAATGAAACAAATATTTCAGCACTTGAAAATAAAGGGTCAGAGCCCCTTTGGGAAAATGAATTATCTGACTTGGTTTTCCAGACAAGACAACAAATTTTTCTGCCAACAGCAAAACTACTGAAACCTAGTTTCACACAGGCAATGTGTTACAGTCAGTTGAGAATGAACAGCAGATTCAAGGTGATTATAGGGCAAGTGCTGAGAAGCAGCAAGCAGTGTAATTTCCCAAAGAAAACAGGTTTTGGAACTACTTCCCATTACTTTCTTTAAGATTTTAACCGCTTAAGGAAACACTGTTTTCATGGTAACAGGTATTTGATTTTGACTTTGGACTCAAACCAGGCAATTGTTTCTGGTGATTTTGTTTTGACCATGTAATTTCACCTTCATCCGTGGTTTTGCTTTGTTTTGTAGAGAATGTGTAGTAAAAGACATGGAAATTTGGGAATCTTCTGGACAATGGATCTTTTCGTCTTACTCCCCAATGAAAGAAAAGATGAATGTCTCAGGTAGGTAACGTTTTTAATGTTGTTGCGTATTGCTGCTATGTAGGATGTTTCTGTGACTTGCCTACACTGTTGTACCTCTGTGGAACTGTTTGCAAGGTCATGATTTGCCTTGTGATGCAACAGAAAGGAATATGAGATTATGGCAAATTCATATTGGACGCTGACACCTCTGAAATTCTGTAATGGATCTTTCTTTGTGTCTCCGACTGTGACTGACTTAGGACAGACAACGTACCAAGGGCCATTTCTTTGTAGCTGGTGATTGTAAGTATGAATGTGTTTTCTTGGAGGTTTTTAACTATTCCTGTCCTTGCAGGCTTTTCGGATGTCTCACCAGAAGAGCTGCGTCTGGAGTATTATGACAGCAGAGCAAAGAATATGATTGGGAATTATGTAAGTATTTAAACAATACTGGTGTGGACACTCTTTGGGACAGGACTTATTCCTATTCTTCAAATGGCAACTCTTTACTCATTTAGCTCCCAACTCTGGGAGATTTTCAGAATGCCAAAATATTTTTCAATTGCTGTGCACCAAATAGAATCCAAAAATAGCTGCTGGACACTCCTTGACTTAATCTTGTCCCTGCTCTTGTGCAGTATTTGTAGAAGTTACTGGAATGCTGCCTCAAAAATTTAGTATCTCATATGCTATTAGTTTGATTATTATAGCTGGTTGTCTAGTGCTTTAAATAGAAGACTGGCAAAGTTTATTTGACCTTGTTCTTTTACATGCCTTTGTTGCAGGGAACTAATGATGAAAATAGCAGATACTTCTTTTTTAGAAATATGTATGCCTTTGGAAGTAACACATATGTTTTTACATAAAACATCTCTCAATGTGTTTGTATTGTTCCTTCCTCATAGTCCTGTCAGTATCAAGGAAGCTAGCAAAGTTTAATGTTGTGCCAAGAAGGAAATTAGGCTGTTGGAAATTAGGCTGGTGGCAAGTATAAACTAATTTAAGCTAAATTTCACTCTTACTTCTTGTTCTTGGTTCTGTGTTCCAGAAGAAATTGCTGTTGTCATCACTCTGGCTTCATATGTTTAGATTTACCAGAACTGCATTTTCAGAGACAAGAGATACATAATTTTTTAAACTTCAATTAAAATAATAAACCAAAATGATTAAACAATATGCTATGCCTGGCTATTTAAAAATAAATAAATTATGGTCTCACCAAAGTAGTAGATGCAAGTTCACAAAACCCTCATTGTGTAGATGATAACTGTATGATACGGTTCTCTCACAAAATGTTTAAGTACAGCATGTCTTTTCCATGTTTCTATTCTTAAACTGGGTCAAAATGTGAATTTTCTGGTCCGTTGTATAGGCAGATATCTAGTAACATGATCTTCCAGCATGTGACTAGACACAGGAGAATTATTGATGTTTCTGTTGTAAGACTTTTTTTAAAAATTAAGGAATTTGTCTACAAAAACATTATTAATTCTATTCTTAAAGGCATTTTTCACATTAGATGTTTTACTTGTTTAGGTTTTAAGGAAAATTAAATTAGGCCAGGCCTTGAATTAGATGTGTTGCTAAACTTAAACATAATGTTAGGAAATTTACGTTTAAAATTCCTGAAAGGTTATTTTAAGACTTTGCAGTATCTTGTTTAATACTAAATCACAGTTATCAAGACACAGATATTATTTACTGCTGCACTGTTCTGTGCAGTTATCTAATGGAACACATTAAAGGGGTGGATTAGATATTTTAGGATGATACTATTAAAATGTTCTGAATTACAGTGTTTTGAAAGTGGGTATTTTTTTTCTGAAGATGTGTAAAAAGCTAAGGCAAATCTTAGGACTTGAGCTTACTGAGTGAGTGCATAAGTAGACAGGCCGGAAATCAAACAGCAATTAAAGAGTTTGTTCTCATATATTTAAAACTTATATGTCTTATGTCATTTGTTACTTTTTTCCCCAGGTATCTAATTAAGAAGGAGATAGAACTTGGATTTAAAAAACCCCAGAACTTTTTTTTTTTTAATATTATCCCTGTGTAAAGTACAAAGGTTGATTTAAGGGCAATAGTAAGAGAGTTTAAAGGAATTCTCTGCTAAAGACAAAGGTGTCAACTCCTTACCTTGAAGTTTCAGGAGAGAAAAAATCCTATCTTGGCTTAATGAAGTTTCTTTTTTAATTCTGGGTATCTTTTTTCAGTTCAGTTGCCAGATCACTCTTTTTTGTTTTTAAGTCTTCAGTAATAACGACATGCTTTTCTTTCCCCCTTTTTAGATAGATGCTGTCCAACAGTTAGCGGCACAATGGAAAAATCGTCTGCTTCAGTTGAAAGCTTTAAATGCATCGACAAAAGCAGCTTTGGTAAGTGTTAAGCAAAGGCAAAATGTTTCTGTTCTGCGCTAATGTTGACCCTTCCAAGACAGAATCAGAAGACGGGACTGGAATTGCCCTCCAGGCCGTCTTAAGATAAATAGAGTGTTTGGGTAATGCCGGAATGAGGAGTTGAGAGATAGGTGGGAGACAAACCCTTTGGATAACATTTGAAGATAAAAAAAGTCATTGATCCTGGGAAGGTGACAAACACTTCTGAATTGAGATGTTTTTTCAGAAGCAATTGCTTGAGTTAAAGCTAATAAGCAATAATTGGGAAGACAGAGGAAGTGACTTTATTTAAGTGGAGTTTCCATGAAGTGCATTAAAGGTTCAGTAGTATGATCTCAGCCCTTGGTCTGTTCAACGCTGAAAGTGGAGAAGCAGGATTTGGGCTTTAGCACAGGAAACTGGATGTGCCAAGAAGAGAGAAGAGAGCAAGTGAAAGCAGTGCCCTAGATAGAGTCACAAAGCACAAGATGAAACAGTAAGAGATGAGACCGAGAGCTGCAAGAGGTGATCAAGTCATTGACTGACAGGCAAAAATCTATAAATTGTAGCAGATTTGCATTTCTGTTTTCCAGAAAAGAATGTGTAGAGACTGAAAGCATCTTGTTCATAACTGCAAGAGCATGTGATCATGATGAAAGTGATCTGTGTCCGACTGGGCAGCTCTATTTTTGCTTCAAGTATTTACTGAAAGACAGTTCCCTGTTTTGGAATCTAGTGTTCACTTATGTCTTTGGAATTTTTTCAGCTCTCTGCTTTCAAGAACACGGGCTCTCAACCATCTCCTGCCTTTGGACTGGGAGGACAGCAGACATCAGGCTTTGGGCTCTCAAGTAAGTTCCTGGCCTAAGAACCATTAGATACAAATGCTTTCTGGAGTTTCTCTGCTGCTGTGTTTTTTGAAATGCAGCAGTGGTTTAGTGCGACTGGGGTAGCCATTGTAATCTATTTTATCACTTCTGTACTTGCAGGCTTTCCTGTGAGCAGCAGCAGTACCAGTGCCAGCAGTTTCTCCTTTAAAGCCAGTTCCAGCCTTATCAGTTCCTCATCATCTGCAGCCAGCCCTGCTGCCGGGGTCTCTTCTGCTGCCGGTAGCGCTCCTGCGTTTGGGGTGACGTCCTCTCCCAGCGCGCCCCAACCTGTTGGGTTTGGCAGCCCGGCAGCTCCATCTGCAGCCTCCTTCTCCTTCAAAACAGCTGCAACAGCGGGTGGCTTTGGGACTTCTGGGTTCTCGGGCTTTGGCGGTGCCGCTGCTGTGAACTCTTCCGGCACCACCACTCCGCTCCCAGCCTTCGGAGCCTTTAATGCAGCCACGGCCACTTCTGCCTCGCCTTCGAGCGGTGCTTTGTTTGGACAGACTGCCAGTGCCTCTGGACATCCCGTCACCTCAGCGCCTGCTGCGGTCACCAACACCACCACCTCAGAGAAGTTATTTACACCCAAGAGCGAATTATCGGCTGAAGAGTGGCAACAGTTTGAAGCCAAGGAGTTCACCATTGGAAAGATTCCTCTTAAGCCACCCCCATTAGAACTTTTAAACGCTTACGACCTTTTAAGTTTATTCAGAAGTAACATGTTTTGAAATTAAATCAAATACTTCCCTTTTGTTACTTTTTGTTTCTTGAGTCTCTTTTGCAGTAATAAACCCACAATTATAAACACTGGAATATTGTATTTTTTGTAATTTCTTGGTTATTTTGGATGGACTTTTTACATCTAAGATATTAACTGTTGAAACTAAAATAGAATGTTCCCTTCTGTATGCTGTGCTGTGAAATTCTGGGCCAAAACTGTATGAAATAGGCTGTGTCGAAAGAAAGACTGTTTCAGTCAGATATTCACAGCCGACTGCTAGAGAGAAACAGATGCAGTGCAAGATTGGTTGTTGTTGGACAGCCTTGTCTTTTGCCTCTTGAAAGGGTCCATGCAGCCTTGGACGGTTGTGTTTGGAGAGAGAGGAGGGCTCCTGTGTGGTCTGTACCATGCCAGATGCTTCTGTCCCCTGGGAGTCATTTCCCTGTGCCAGTTGATGCAATTCAGCTGTCGTGAGTAGTTGTGCCTGAGGTCACTGTGCCTGTATGAATGTCACACAGCTGGGGGAGGACAGCACTGAAGGCGTTCATCCTGAATAAGGAACTTGTGGGCTGCTATTTTGACACCTGAGATGAAACTTTGCAAGCAGTTGCAAAACTGCCTTTCTGTGAACCTGTGGAATTTTGTTGTCAGGTTCTCAAAACATGATGGGTACACATATTAGCAGTACCTTTTCTGAAGTCATGATATTAAGGTACCCATTTTGTTACTAAGACGCTCTAAAAGCGGGAGTTGGGAATCTTCCAGAGGATGTCCTAGACACAGAGATGGCAAGATCTGGTGTTTTCACAAATGGGCTTCTGAGCATCTGAAAAGGCAGTAGAGAGAAGTGTGATATGACTTACCTAGCAAAAAACAAGCTATATATTTGGCTGCAGAAGTAGAGATAAGTATAGGCGAGAAAAGAAGGGAATAGTATTGCTCTAGGGGGCTCACCAAACTGCAGAAAATAGGCAACAATTTGTTAGACCGAAGGAATTTGTCCCAATATTTGCACTGTGTTGGGTTTTTTCCTGTTCATTCTGTTCTCCTTTGGGTATACTTGATTTCAAAGTAGGTTGCAAGTAAAAAGGAGTTAAATATCTTCCTTTTAGCTACAGTCCTTTCATTTTTCTTAACTTCTCCTTTTTGCAACTGTGTTTTTGTTTGGTATATGGCTGCTCTCCAGAAAGTCATAATATTGTGGTCTGGCATATAAAAACATGTATAGGGTGGCAGCAAACTCACAGATGTCACTTACTGTACCTTGATTTAGAACAGGAAACATGAGGTGACTATCCAAGCAAAGATGTGTAACATGTCCTGATTAGCAGAAAATCTTGGTCTGTGGAATAGGCTCGAACATTTAAGCTCCACGTGATATTTTCAAGTAACTTCCCTTGCTTTGAAATAACAGGATTTATGAGTCACTGAAATTCCTGGGGTGTGGTACAAACAACTAATTTGAAGAATGATTTGAAGTTTTTGTTTTCAAGAGATCATGGATTAATCCCCAGACAGTAGCACTTGAGACTGGCTGCATACAGGAGAAAACCCCTCCACTGCCCCAGCTGAGGAGGCAACCCAGCATGTAACAAATGCTCTACCCTTTTTCCTCCCAGTGATACTAGCAGCACTAGCATCTCAAAATGTGAATTAGCAGCTGATCAGGAAAAAAACAAAAAAAGTAAACCTCAGAGAGCGTTACAATTGTGTCTTAGGAGTTAAGCATCACAGTGGCCACGTGCTCTGTAGTTCCACAATGTGCAGTCTCAAGTGGCATGATAGCTTTACAGTGAATGAAGCAAAATGGACTGCAAATAACCAACTGACTAGATTTAAGCCTCAGAGGATAAGCTAAGGGCATCAGCAACAATAAATTAACCAGTAGGCTGAGGAAAGAAGAGCCTTCACAAATATGCCTGGGAGGGAAATGAATATGAAAACCCTATTAATACAGGAGCACTGAAGGGAGATTGATAACTCTGAAATGGTGGAAATCTGTTTAAAAAATATTTGAAATGAGGGACAGCTGAAAATCAATGAGGATGTAATGCGGTAACTGATAAAAGCAAGTAAGAAAATATTTGTGAAATGTGAGCTTGCTGCAGCACAGTGGAAGTCCAGGCAATTGCTGTACTGGTCAGTGAGGGAATCAGCTAATGGACTTGCTACTGTTCTGGTAAGTGATATCACTTACTCAGGTAAGTGATAGAACACGAGGGATGTGATAGCAGACTGAGGAAATAACATATGTTAATGACCAGAAGTACTCACTTTGTTGGCGGTTACAAATAATTTGAGGAGTTTATAAAGACAGATCATCTGGCTTTCAGTAAGGCATTTGATACAGGCATTTAGGAGGTGTCAGATGTTTATGTGACAGTGATTAGGGTTAGCAATTAATCAGAAACATCTACAAGTGAGTGAAAATTTTTATTTCTAGTCCACCTCCCGTGTCCTAATGCAGAGTATGGAGAGAAACTGGGCAATAGTGGAGGAAGAAAGCCACAGGTTGTATAAGATAGATATCTAATGTATAAGTAGATATCTAATTATATTAGACCTAATATAAGCCAGCAGCTGAAGGAAAAATCTGGACTGCAAGTATTTAGAGAGCAAACTGAAGAGATGAAAGGTGCTGACAGTGAGATATGAAGCTGTGGTGGTTCAGATCAGTAAAATGTAGTTTGAGCTGTAGGAATATCCTACAGCTGCAGTAATGCTGTGCTTAGTTATGGGCATGCAATTGCCAGAGACCTGTGAGATGACTAGGAGGAGATTCAGCAAGCAAGCAAAGCCATTGGAAATGAGAATTTAGGAGGGAACTTAAGAGCTGAATAAGCTCTGCTTGGTGAAAGCAGAGGCTGTGACATGAAATGACTGTCTTATTGAAAGGGTACCCTCTCAGGAAGGAGGAAATGGGACTTTTTAAGGCATTCTAGTAACCACAATATTGTGCTACTTCACAGAAGTCTTAGGAAGTTTCCCACCTGGGAAAGTCCTTTTCTACTTCTGTTAAGATCTGGCCAAGCCAAAACCAAAACGCTAGAACCAAATCCCTACCTGTCAGGATTAACAGTTCATGTTCTCAGAGATGCAGCAGTCAGCAGAAGTGGATCTGGTCCCTTCCCTTTGAACCAAAATACACCAACGTTTGTGCAGAGAGTGACAGGAGTGCAACGCTGAGCATTTGGGGCAGGGAGCTGTGTGTGCCCCCACCTCTCCTGGGAATGATTTAGGGGGCTGGCCATAAAGTGGGACCCTCTCTCCATTGAGTTTAAAGAGGCAGATTAGCTCCCTAATACTGGGAGAGAATATGCCTCCTGGTCTTGAAACCCACACTTAAAACTCTCACTTGCAATTGCCTGGTTTTCCTGTTAAGAATAGCTAAGCAAAAAAAAAAAAAAAAAAACAACAGAGTTGTTCATAGCAGCTCAGCCTTAGGCAATATGCTTATTTAATCTGCAGTGCTGTTGCAAATTTTCAATTTGGTCTGCAGAATAAAGCTAGGCACCTTCTTACAGCACAGTATCACGCAATGGGCTCCTTGGTGGGACCTACCCTCCTGTAAAAGAAGAAAACAGGTCTTAAAATGGAGGGAAGAAGAGCAAGAACAAACAAGACTTAATGTCAGCAGGCTAATCAGCATTTTTGTTTGCTTTGTCTTTCCTTCACAGCCAGTAGGGTTTGTTCTTACCATGTCACATGAGAGACATAAGAAACAAGTTTTATACCTTTCCTTTTCTAATAAGCAGATCTGTTATATTGTTAATTGCATATTAGTCATCAGAAAAGTGATCTGGTATTTCAAAATACCTGTTGTACCCGAATTTCTGTTTTGTTATGGCAGTGGGTTCTTAGCAAACTAAATGCTGTTTAGTCAACATCAAGTAAGGCTTCTGCAAGTCTTCCACAGAGCCTTATCTTTGCAAATCACATGAAATATGCCCATTGCATATGCCCTACAAGTAATTAGATTAGTTCTAATTATACAAAATAGATCCGCCCTTCTGTGTGAATGAAACAAGTAACATTTGCGTGTGTGCATGTAAAACCACGTCATGTCACTTTTAAACTGAGACTAATGAGGTAGAGTTTTGATCTCTGATAGCTTTGCTTTTCTGTCTACCCAGTTCTGTTGTTGTTTTTCTCAGTCTCACAAACATCTGTGCAGCTCTGGCTTGTAATGCCCTCTGGTATTAAGGCACTCTTTATAGGCACAGGAGATCTTTAGTAGTTTACCTCTGCAAGTATGGGCTTCTCTTAAAGTATCTGTAACGATGAAATAGAAGTAAAATAAGATAAAGCTGAAGCAGTTTGTAACCATGGGTTGCATTACAAAAGATAAAAAATAATTAGAAAAAGGAAAAACCTGGTATCACTTACTGTTTCTGTATGATAAATGGACAATAGATGAGGTGGACAAAAGAGGGCCTTCAGCATTCTCCCATAGCCTGTGTGCTTGCTCAGAAGCTCCCACAGGACTGGGGACCAACAGGTCCTTGCAAAGTGAAGCACTACTCGAACTTCACCCTAGGAGCTTGGCAGAGCATAAAAGAGAGACCCAGCCTGCAGGCAGATCTGCCAGCCTGGAGATAAGGCTGCCTCAAATTTTACTGCAGATCCTCCTGCCTGGAGTCTGCTTCAGACATCTCTCTCTCTCTCTAACCTACCTTCCTGGAGACTAATGTCTTTACTCCCTGCCCTGTGTGCCTCCCACTCCCCTGCTTTTGCATACAAGGAGGCATGACTCCCTTGGCCTCTCCGTGCAGGTTTTGCCGATGAAAACGGCCACCAGAAACCCTTCTTCTCCAGAAGTCTGTGCCTCTACCTGAAGCCTACATGGGAATTCACATGATGTCGGGACACAGTACTCATGATTTGACACCTCCAAGCCAGCCCACAAGCAGAGCTGTACATCACAGGTGCTGGTGGACCTTCAGCATGACCTGTCTTTCCAGCTGGTGCTGTTTCAAGGTTCTGTCTCATCAGTGCCCTTTACTCACATATTCAAACTCCACATCACATGATGTTCCTAGAAAAATGAATCCCACTTAACCTTTAGTCATCCTCTATAACCACTGGTCAATTC